ATATATCTATATATTAATATATATCTATATATTAATATATATAAATGTATATTGTATAGATGTTTATATAGTTCCAATATGTATATATATATGTGTATGTCTGTGTATGTATGTGTGTATGAATATACTCTTTGTTTTTTTGTATATTATTGTGTGTATACATTTTTTTTTATATATGTATGAATATATATATACATTAAACATATATATATATATATATATATATATACACGTATGTATATATATACATTAAACATATATATATATATATATAATATATATATACATTAAACATATATATATATATATAATATATATATATATAATATATATATTTATATATATATGTACATATATATATATATTTATATATATACATATATATATATATATATATAATATATATATATATACATTAAACATATATATATATATATATATAATATATATATTTATATATATATATATTATATATATATATATACATTAAACATATATATATATATTATATATATATATATACATTAAACATATATATATATATACATTAAACATATATATATATATACATTAAACATATATATATATATACATTAAACATATATATATATATACATTAAACATATATATATATATTATATATATATATATACATTAAACATATATATATATATACATTAAACATATATATATATATACATTAAACATATATATATATATACATATATATATATATACATATATATATGCGTGTGTTTGTCCGCGTGTCTTTATGTATATGTATGTTATATAACATAGATGCAGGCATTTATTTATATCGGTTACTTTGCCTTTTAACAACTGCAGTCATTTTATCACTTAGCTGCTTAGTTACCTATGCCTTGGTGTACACCCTCACCGTCTTGCAGAATAGTGTGAACACTCGCTGATTCAAAGGTTTGGGGCTTTGTTCTTTACATTATCTGGCTACCAGGGTTAGTTAACACTACAACTGTCATCTACAGAACATTATAGTTATTCTAATGTTAATCTTTACTTTCTAGTCGGTTGTTCTGGCATGCGCTGGACTAGTCCTGGGCTCTGTCCATCCCCCAGCATATGGCCATCACCCACAGCCCGCTTACGGTCATCATGCGCCTGCTTACGGTCATCATGCACCTGCTTACGGCCACCAGCATACCTACGACCACGGTTACTGCGACCCAACTGTTGCCCCCGCATGTGCTGACAACTCCACTCTCTCCTACTGCTTGGAAGACACTGAGTATCCCGAGTACGAGATCAAGGCTGCCATCACTGCCGATCACCTGTTCGCCAAGAAGTACGCTGACGTAGCCGACCAGTCTGCTGATGACCTGGTAGACATGATTACCAAGGATCAGGAGGAGGCCTTCGACTACTCTTACTACACTGGAGCCTCCACTGGGGACTCTCCCTACGATGTTACCCACTGGGCTGGTCCTGAGGGTTACCTCTGTCCCTCTGAAGTGGTGTATGCCATGCCCAAACGTGCCCAGAATGTGGAAGGCAAGTGGCGCGTCATTGTGAACGACATTCATTATTACAGCCAGACTACCCGCTTGGAGACTTGTCTGTTCCCAGAGGCTGCTTGCCGCGCCCTTGCTCCTTGCTACCAGAGCCACTGCACCCAGAAGTCAGTGTACCACCGACTCCTCTCCTACGACCCATGTGACCCCTACAAGGGCCTCTTCATCGACATCTACAAGATGCCATCTGCCTGCTCCTGTCACCTCGCCTAATACGCTACCGGAACGCTCCTCAACAACTCGCCTCTTCACGCACAATTTGATATTTCATGACCAACACGGAACCACCGATAATCCCTGTTGGCCCTTAAAACGGAGAACACGTCACGTGACTAGAGAACTGTTTTTTTTCACGTACCAGAACAAGCCATGCCAAAAACCGTCGGGACGCTTCCATCGCTGCTCTCTTTCTCCCTTTTCGACTTCCTTTTCCTTCCACTCATGTAAAAGACAAATGAAAATCTATTCTAATATATCTTATAAACGATTCACTTACTACTTGATTTACTGCCCCTTAGCACATAGAAGATATCCATGTAATATTTGAAGATTCTGCGTACATAATTCGAAGAGCAAAGATCAAAGGAGGTGAAATGAAGGTGATGATAGTAATAATGATAATAATAATAGTTAAAACAACAACTGAAATAATAATCACAACAGTAAAACAATAATGATAACAATAACATTCATAATGGTCATACTAATGATACCAATAATAAGTCTTAAAATGATAATGATGGAATAATAGTAATAAACTTATTAGAATTAAAAATATACATAAAAATATAAATTGATACAAATAATTATGTTAATGATAATGATAAAGGTAATACGGTAATGATAACAACAAATAGGGACAATAATAATGGTAATGATGTTAATAACATTAATGATAAAAACAATATTAGAAATAGTAATAACAACAAGGATAATAGTGATAGTAATAATAA